ATAAGCATGCGCACTCGGGGATCCATCCATGGGGCAAAGTACACGCGAGAGATAAGCAAGTGTCGGCGCATCGCGATGAGCTAGGCGGCAAGCGCGGGCGGCTTTTTTGAAGTCGACGAAAAAATTTTGGTCTGTCTGTCTGTAGATTTGTCTGTCCGCCCTAACGATACCTTAAACAGCACCAAATGGCCAACCCCATCGGCAGCGCCCACCAATATTGCTCAAGGTTTAGTGTTCATAGTTGTGCTATTGTCAATTAAAAAGCAATTATTGCGCATATCTGAGGCGCCACAACAACGCTTCGATGTTTTCTGTGTCTGTCTCTATACTAGAAGAGGTGCACACAAGTAACTCTAAGGATTGTAGCGTTTAATCGTGCTGCGCTGACAGTCCAACGCCTTACTACGACGTCACGGTGGTGGCACCTGCCCGTCGCTTTGCGTTCTACACTTCCGAGACTGGCGGGCATCTTTCTCCTCGGGCTGCACGCCTTCGTTTTCGAAGATAACTGCTAGATGGCACTTGTGTCTAAAGTGCCTAGATGCCCTTAACTTGACGTGAACCAAAATGAGCATGGGAGGGTAAGACGGTTGGACTAATATGACATGCTGGTCAAGACATGAATAATGTCACAATCCCGTCGCGGATGTTGTCAAACACTTCTCGCCAGACAGTGGCACATACCCACGGGTAAGTATTTGCCACTGGTATGCTGGTATGTGACACCGGTGATTGACACTCGGTATCTATTCAGCAACGATGAGAACTCACATGTGCAATTTTAACATGGAAGGGTTAAGAAATTACCCGACATTGGCAGAGTCGTCCCGACGAATGCAAAGAATAAATGTCAGGATCCCAGCTGAAACCAAACCCAAGCATTCTGCGTGGCAAAGAAGCCTTTTACCTCAGACTTACGCCAGGTCTCGGAACTACTTTTCAAATAGACGCTAATCTTCGTGAAAAGTCAATAGTGGTTGCAGTGCTGTCTACTCAATTTTATAAACATTACTTACTTACTCCTTTCATAAAGCAGTCATGTTGGGTTAACGCCGATTGTGGTTACTTCCCATGTGCTAAAGTTAATTTGTGTAGCAATGTCCAGGGCCAACATCCTCGCGAACGTCAGCGCTTCATATCAGCTTCTGGTGTTGCTAATACGCATCTTCCAGTTGACATCGTTGTGCAAGTGCAAACAACTGGTTATATAAACATCTGTAATACTTCAATATACGTCTGTTCGTGCAATATTTATACATATATTTAGCGTTATTTCATGATGTGTCGCTCAATAAAAAATGCAACACGATCACCTTTCTTCAGCATGATTCGCATAATGTTGATTCCCAAGTACGTGGGATCTGCCGAATTAAAAAAAAAAAATTTTCTCCTTTTTTCATCCGACCATTTTATCCTTTCTCACTGTCTCTTTTATCCCCATCCCCCTCGAGTTTTTTCTGTTAAAATGTCCTCACTGAAACAGTTAGTGTGTGCTCCTCCCCTAATTCCTTATTTTTTCCCTCCAACATTTTCGTTACTTAGTCAATAAACAACGGCTCATCCGCAAGGTTTGCCAAAAAAGTGCCTCTTTTCTTCAACCAACCACTTCAGTATCCGTGCAACGAGCACGGTAGGCCTTCACGTGCAATTTAAAGTTCTAACATACCATCTAACTAGCTGGTTTGGATCAGCAACATGCTTCCAACTGGCATGCACGGCATAGCATGGTTTTGGTGAACGACGTCGGTCTGACGAACTTTTACGTGCGAAAAAGACACCTGTTCAAAATGCCCATTTAACGCACGAGAAGTGCGTCCATGTCGACATATGCACAGATGGCGACAAGCACTAGTGAATTACCAAGTAGAGCCAGGCAACAAATATGACGTTGATCATCGACAGAAAAAATGGAAATCCAAAGAGCTAATTCGAATGTTCTCGGTTTCCTTTACAGATGGCTAAAGCATTGACGGTCATTGCAAGCTGAACACTAGTGCTACCGAATGAGGAAATGTTACATTAGCCTCGACGTCAACCATCTAGTTCTTGTTTATACAGGGATATTCTTTGGGAAACACATGGGGCTTATTTACTTACAGGACGAACATGTGCATGCTTGCTCATCATATTGAAAGCCACGGCACTCTGTTAGTCATTGAATGTTGTCATAATATTGTGCACTAAAATCGCAGTTGAAGCATGGAAATGCCACTGCTGAAACCCATAAAACTGTCAATGACTGGCATAATTAGTGCATTTCATACGTTTTTACCTGAAACCAAGAGCCTTCCATTTTCACTGATTTCAATACGATGAGCAAGCATGCAGCATGTCTGTCCTGTAAGTAATTATGCCACTTGTGTTTCACAACCATCACTATTTCCGCATAAACAAAACGAAGTGATTTGACGTCGAGGCTAATGTAACCTTTCCTCATTCGGTGGCACCCCGGGGGTACAGGAAAACATCGTCGAGTGCAGAATGCTACTAATGCATTGATCTCGGGGCAGTGAAAACCATGCTGGGTGCAAAAAACTTTTTGGGAGGGGCGGATCAAGTGTGGCTTCACAATGATTGTAGATATCTGCAAATCAAACTTGTATTTTTGCCCCTTTAGACGAAAACGCCGCAGTGGTCTAGTGGCTAAGGTATTCGGCTGCTGACCCGGAGGTTGCGGGATCGAATCCCGGCTGCGGCGGCTGCATTTCCGATAGAGGTGGAAATGTTGTGGGCCCATATGCTCAGATTTGGGTGCACGTTAAAGAACCCCAGGTGGTCCAAATTTCCGGAGCCCTCCACTACGGTGCCTCTCATAATCATATGGTGGTTTTGGGATTCTAAACCCCATATATCAATCAGATTTGGGTGCACAATGAAAAACCCCAAATTGTCGAAATTTCCAAAGCCCCCACTGCGGCGTCTCTCATAATCGTATGGTGGTTTTGGGGCGTTAAAACCCACATATATCACGCTGTGACAAAAACGGACAACATGCGAACTTACCTCTTTGGATTTCTGGTTTTGCTGTCAATCATCTACGTCGTGCGTATCGCCATCCATGCACATGTCGACACAGAAGCACTCAACGTTTGTAACAGTCAGAGTGACTTTGCTCATTGAAACTGTCATCACCATATCGAAACCACTCGCAGGTGCCTCACCGCACGATGGCGCATTGGCTTGAGTGGCCGCCTGATTTGTAAGGGTACCGTCCATACACGGCAGCAATGGAGCGATGGGGCTTCCGCACGATGGAACAGCCGTGAACACTCCTTTGTGTGCGTTTTCAGGGGCGCGCATCCCTAGCCATGTGACCTTGAGAGGAAGGACCAATAGCACACGAGCAATCCTGACGTAGCGGCCGGCTTCCTCCTCACTATCTTTCTTTTTTCTTGGGCGTGCTATGGCACCAGTATTTCTAAATACTCCCGGGAAGTCACCGGAGCGCTTGCTCAGTTCGCTGTAACGCATCGGCGGTGCTCAGAGACGTTCGTTGTCAGTGCTGTTTTGTGCCATTGAAATAATGTACTACAGTATATTTCCACGGTCACACGAATATTGTTCGTTTTAAGCAAAAGTTTGTTTTAAGTGGGGCCATTATATCTGGGCTCGACTGTATTACAGATATTTTGTGCAGAGCTGCACGGCAATGAAGCAAGTCCTACTATAAGTCAGCTTCTTGCACGAACTCTGTGTGCCTGGCGTCCACAAAAGTAGACGCCGTGGCAACAACTCAACTTGTAAAACTTCGGTAATTCACAGTGCAATAAAATTCACTCAAGATCAAGGTGAACTCTTCCTTTTTTCAAATAAGGGCATATAACTTAAATGAATTAAAAGCAATGTTTTAAGAAACACCTCTGCAGGAGACTTGGGAAAAACACCATTGTTTTGTTCACACGCTGCTTGTTCACAGAAGTGGACACATACAAGTGTTTTTAATATATGCTAAAGTAAAAAACCAACTTTTCATACTAATTTTCAAGGTAATTCATTAGCTAGTCTGATCCCACTACGGTGACATTTTGTCCACTTATGTGGACATTAGGATACAGGGGGCTCAGCTCAGCAGCACAATACCATAGCCCCTTAGATTCTGCAACCTTAGGTTGGCGAACTCGCTCATGAGTCGGCCCAATCAGACTCGCTCAGGCGCAAATCGAGCCACGAGTCTGAGTAATATTTTGGCGAGTGTCAGTTCGAATGAGTCCGGTTGAAGAAAATTTTTTTGAGTGTGAGTCTGAGTGAGATGAAATTGGCTCAGGAAAATTTAGCCGAGTGAGTGAGTCCAAAGCGCAAGAAGTACATTTGAGTGAGTTTGAGTGAGTTCCACTCATTTTGCTGACCTGTGCTCCTATCTACTCATCTTCAGCATTAGGTACTATCAGCCTTACTTGGATTAACATTTATATTCATGTCTATTCACTCGTATTCCAAAGCAGTTTTGTTGTTCATACACTATTTCAGTGATTATAGATCGGAGGTGTGAATTACGTAAAAAGGTGCCTTCAGCTCCCCCCCACCGACTCTTCCAGGGAAGTTCTTGACAAATATGTTGTCATGTTTTTCAAGAGAAATGTCCTTACTGGTTCGCAACCATTCATACCTAGTATTTGAAAGTACTTAATCAAAAGGTGCCATAGAGAGCACCGATTATGTGGTATAGTGGTGTTAAGGGCATTGACACACTGGTTGAAAAAGCTAAGCTGATTCTAGACTAACGGACTTACGAGTCGACTCACTCTGACTCGGATCGAGCGGTGAGTCGGGCTTGGGTGAATTTTGGAGAGTCCGAGTTCTAGCGAGTCCAAAGTGCATGATATTTTTCTTTAGTTAGTCTGAAGGAGTTCCACTTTTTTGATGACCTTCGGCTGCAACAGTTCATTTAGTTTAGGCCTGGGTATCTTATTGTCAAGACAAAATTGCCTATGGATTGTTATTTTTCTGTGTTTTGTATGTTGTGAAACAGCTGTTCTGAAAAACTTTTTGTATCTTACCAGGCTGCCCCCTACACTGAGACTGCTGTGGTGTCTCCCCAGCTGCCTAATACGCCGGCCCCATTGCCTATGCCGAATCAGCCACAGCCTGCTATTCTGACTGCAGCACATTTCCAAGCGCCGTATGCACCATATTCTGATGGCTACAGTGAGTTTTTGTCTATCCTATTTCCTAACCGTTCTTCTTACATTAGCCCTGTAACACCGAAATGTAATCATAGAATAACTTCAATGTACTATTGGGCAAAATTTTCCCACGATTCTGCCACCTCTAGAGATTTTCAAACTCTTTTGCAGGTAGTTATTGCTCACTCCAATCGCTTTCTCACTCTTTTCATCTGCACGAGTGCGCTGCATAGGTGAGGATTGCAAAAGGCTAAGACACCAGCCAAAAGTTACATCACTATGGTTTGGAGGGGTTTGTTATTATTTGGCAATCATTTCTCCTACTTTCAGTTCAGACTTGCACTGTGCTTTTTTTCAAAAAATTACGAGGTGGATGACCTGCAATGCAAGAGTTAGGTGGGGATTGTTGTAAATAAAGGAGAAAGAAGGGGTGGCGGGCGTAAACCACGTGCGCTGGCTACCTGAGTTGTTTCTTTGGCCTTCGATGTAGACAGGCGATCGGGCCCGGGTCTTCTTCGTTTCTCACACTTCGTTCTGGTGCCGAAACCCACCCAGTTGTCTGGCCTTCAACTTTCGACAATGGACCAACTCCGAGTACTGCGTGGCTTCTACCGGACATCCATCACCAAGGCAATATTGACTCGACACCTTACTGGCAGACTCGATGACCCCTGCTCACAGGCTCCAGGAGCTAATCGAAATCATTGTAACGAAACACGCCCACCTCATCACCTTGGACAAGGATGTTCAAGCTGCGCTACACAGTGAGGACCTCGAGGCAGACTTGACCACCGCAAGCGAATACGAAGATCGGGTCATCTGCTCTAAAGGAAGGGTTCGACGCGCAACCGGGCTGCAGTCGCCAACCTCACCCGCATACGTTGTCACAACTGCCCTACTCAGTGACCCCCTCGCAGGCACATCGCAGCCAACCGCAACCTTACCTTCGTCTGACTTTCCGACTCCCACGACGCCATCTCGCCTCGCACTGCCCAATCTGCACATTCCGAGTTTCTCAGGCGAATGACATGACTGGCAAGGATTTTAGGACCAGTTTCAAGCTAGTATCCACAACAACGACTGGATACCGAAAGTTGACAAGTTCCAATACCTATTGACATACCTCACTGAGGCAGCAAAGGTAACCGTTCAAGGTATTCACCTGGCCGAAGCGAACTATGACGTCACCATTCAGATCCTGTCGGACCACTTCAGTCGTCGCGACATGCTAGTCGACGACCATCTCGACAGTTTGCTGTCAATCGCACCAGTCCGAAGTTCTGCAGATGTGACTGTTAAGAAATTGACATGATTAGTCACATTTCGCATCAATGCCCTGGAAGGTCTCGGAGTATCTCCAGGCGAGTACGCCACGGGGCTGTGGTGTTTTTTCTTGAAGCCGGTACCTTTGGACCTCAGCATACTCTATCGCCAATGGCAAAAGGAAGCCATGCTATCTGAGACCGCCACAGCATCTCTGGAAGCCCAGTTACAAGTGAAAGACCTGAGCTTTTTCAAAGTACAGGTAGAGATACAAGAGGAAAGCGGTCTCCAGCAACCGATATCAGCTATAAGCCGGAGGCCTCCGCAGTGTGACTTGCCAATCCGTCAGCCACCCTTGCCCTCCCCTGCGGCCTTATCAGCTGAACTTCGATCCCATACTCGCACCCCTGCGTCCTGTGCACCTCTCCCGAACACACTCATCACGATTGCACCAAACGTCTCCCTCTGGAAGAGATGCGGGAGAGGCTACACGAAAAGAAGCTATGTTTTCGCTGCTGAAAACGCTACCATTTTGCCAATGATTGCTACACCGCCATAACCCTGCAATGCTGTGGATGTACAGCACAACATCTAACATCTCACATCTCTGTGCGACATAAAGAATGGAATGAAACACTCCCAGCGTGTGAACAATACGTCGGTGCGTTAAGATTTCGCACCGGCATCTACAACCGCTCTTTCTCGGGCGACGTCCGTCTAAACTACTGGTGCTGGTTTTGACACCCTTACTGCTGCAGACTGGCACAGCATGGGCTATTGCACCGGCGAAAACAGTTCTGGTTCGGTTCCTGCTGGACACGGGAAGTCAGCGTTCGTTCATTCGGTAGGACATTTCTCAAGTTTAGAAATGTCCTGTTTGGGGCACTGAGTACCTCACCTTGTTCACCTTCGAGCAAATGAAACGGCATACGGCTTTCACCTGTGAGCGCGTTGCGTTGACATTGCGGATCCAACACAGCAGCAACGAGACAGTCGAAACTCTGGAAATACCAGAAATCAGCCTGGTGACAAGTCTGCCATCTGATGGTGAAATGGTAACCATGATGATACGGAAAGGGATGCTCCCCGCCGATGCACATCCAGACGAGATGACATTCCACGAGGATGACATAAATGTACTAATAGAATCGGACTTCTACTGGGATGTTGCAACGGGATCTATAAAAAGCCTGACTCTTCAGATAACTGCAGTGGAAACTCTCATCAGATGGACCATTCAGGGTTCTTTACACAGCCTAATCAAAGGATCGGGCGTGCGTGCAACCTACCTCTTTATTGCTATGCTATCGAAGACTCCTCTGAACGTGATGCCGCCTTGGAGGAGAAAATCAATACCTTCTGGCGACTCGACTCTCTCTGAATTCAGGCTGATCCTGACGGCAACCAAGGCATGGCCCTTGAACTATTCAAAAGGGGCATTTCCAAAATAGGAGAATGCTACGATGTTCCTCTCCTTATTCAGGAGTACAGAGCAACTACATTCTCGCCAAACAGCAGCTCCTGATGCTGCTACGCCGCTTTCAACAGCAATTAGATCTTTTGGCTCAACGACTCCATCAAGGCATACTTCAATGACTACCATGCAGAACGAGTTCCGGACGAAGATCTCGCACCCAAGCCCAATACGTACTACATGCCACATCATGGAGTAATTCGTCGGGATGGCCGCATCACCAACCTGCAGGTCGTCTTCGATGCGTCATCTCACGCTCCTGATCAACCATCCCTGAACAGCGTGCCCATGAAGGGGGCTAAGATGGACGCCAACGTACTTAAGCTCCTACTAAGCTTCAGAATACATCCAATCATCACGGTAGCCGACATCAAAAAGGCCTACCGTTAGATTTGCATTCGCCCAGATGACAAGATTTGCATTCGCCCAGATGACAGGGATTCACTGCGCTTCCTATGGGTCAATCATTTTCTGATGAAACATGACCCGTTGTAAGGGGTTCGTCTTATGTACGGCTGACGCAGAAGCCTAGCTAATGTTCTAGCCTCGTACAGTCTTACTGTGCCCGTGCACGATTAACGTCCCCTATTTGTAGCTTGTTTCATTGCAGCTACACGGGTTAGGGCGAATAAGGCAACAGGCTAGGTCAATAAAACGACACTTTATTGCTATACGTTTGCAATAGCGTGTAAATGTCGTCAGGAGATACTACAAAAACAAGAGTAGACGCTTACTCCTTGGTCGTTGTCCTCCTCGGCTCGCAGGGGGTTGCGGGGTCGACCTCCTTCTTTCTAGGCCAGTGTCAGAAAGCGCGTGCGGCCGTCTGCACGCTAGATTTTGTTCACTGACCCGGGTTCCCTCTCCCTGACGAGAATAATACCGTTTCTCGCTGAGGGAGGGGAAACCCGTTCTGTGCGCCGGGAAAGGGGCAATCTTGAGTACTGGTCGCGGGGGTTGTTACATCCCGTCGCAGGAGGCTTTATTGACTCTCGAAGGGACAGTCATGTCACCGTAACCAGGCTGTCGCATTGCCATAAAAGAGAAAAAGAGGCTGGGCGCACGTGCTCCCCCACATCCCCCCTCCCTTAAGAGAAGAGGTAGGGATCGAAGGCGAGATTTTGTAGTTTTTGTTGTAGAGCAATGAAATTTGGCATGCTTATTGGAAACTGCGTTGAATGATAAGTGACAAAAGTTTCGTTTAGCTATCTCTAGTAGTTCTGTAATTATTAATTTTTTAATGCAGCACGGTACTACCTAACTTGCCCAAAGCCTGGTGTGAGAACAAAACATGGTAGAAGCTCATAGTTGCTCATATATTTCAGCCATTGGGATGGTTGATGTGACATTCTGCAAAAATTTTTATAACTTAGTTTTATTTTACAAAGAACATTTTAAACATGCTTCTAAATGCAGTCGTTATCACAATGTGAAATTAGCTTAGGAGTAAAAACAACGAGACAGTAATGAGCAATATGGAAGCATCACGACACAGGAAATTCACTGAGGAACACACTGCAAAAAAACCCACATCAAAATTCGTCGAACCATAGTCATGCAAACATCGTGGCAAGCAGGACAGTCGGGTCAAAACACAATTCTCAGAAAACTGGCATAAAGTAGAACAGTCAGTAAAAGCCCATCAAAATGCCCTGGGACTGTAATATTTTGTCCTTGCTTGCGAGGGGATTCTTAAATCTCTGCTGTGTCATTTTTTCTGCACTGCATGCTTTTCTTTTTCTTTGTCTTTTTCATCAGCTCTTTAAAGGGCAAGGCTGGCAGATTTGATGCCCACAGTCTTGCACATTTCAGTGTAGGCTCGCAAATTGCCAAAATTGTTTCGTGCAACTGTTTCATGGGCAGCAGTTTCCACTGTGAACAATGAAGCATGCTTATTCTTTGAATTCAGTGACCAGATCACTGAATGTAAGCTTTCCGCTGCATTCTGCGTTTTGTTGCCTTGGCATTGATCGGGCAGTTGCGGATCAGAAAGGCGTTGGTATATCGATAGCAGAGCCTCCGCTACATGTTTTGGCAGGCTATACTTGCGAGGTGGTGCTGGCTTCATTTCGGCCTGTGCTGAACGATGTTTGCACCAGCTATCAGGGCCAGGTGGGCAGAGCCCATGGTGAGGCTCGTCGTCGGTAAATGTGACATGGTAAAATGTGGCCATCACAGCCTTTTGCATGTCACTCACGCTTGCGTGTTTTCGCAAGGCTAACCCGTAGTAGCTGGTCAGTTTTTTAAGCAGCTCCTGAGTCAGTCCACCCCTCCCACCCAATGGCTTC